ATTTCCAACGGGCGATTCCAACGGATATCCGTTGGAAATTTTCAACGGATTTTTAACGGAAATCACCGTTGAAATGCCGTTGAAAACCGTTGAAAATCCGTTGAAAAATTTCCAACGGATTTATCCGTTGGAAAATTCGTTGGAATTTGCTGATTTTTTTGTAGTGCTATGTATATAATTAACTAATTATTGAGGAAATAAATAATTTATAATTAATTTACTGATATATGAAAGAATCTATAAAACTTTATTTGTAAATTTTAGATTAAGTTCAAAAAAAATTTCGTATAAATGACCATCAATAAATTTATATTATATATGATAATATTTTGCATGATGAATATTTATTAATTTATATATATTAGTTAATATAACTGTTTATATTTGGCGGTATTACCGTCGGTAAAAGTAAAATAATTCAGGCGGTATTGCCGTCCATAAATAATAAACACAATAGTCTATCAATAAGTAAAGCGGCATAGCCGTCCAATATTAACAATTAAGGCGGCATAGCCGTCCAATAACAAATAAATAATTAAGGCGACAAAACCGTCCAAATTAATAATTAAGGCGGCACAACCGTCCAATAACGAATAAATATTTAAAACGACATAGCCGTCCAGAATAACAATTAAGGCGGCATAGCGTCTATGAATAATAATCAAGGCGGCATAACCGTCCCTAAATTAATTATAAAAAATATCGGTATTTATATACATGTATCTCAAAATGTATGGCCATAATATATATAGATAGACCCATTCACAAGCTAATGGGGTCACATCTCCCCACTTTTTAGTTAAAAATGTTAAACTTTTTAATGATTTTTATAAAATTTTAATTAAATTCTTAAATGACCCGTCATAAAATTAAATATATATTTACTACTGTCCCCGATTATAAAATTTTCCAAGTCCACCATTAATAACAAATATTATTTATTATTTTTAGTCGAGTAAACGAACGAAAAACAGTTACATCTCATAGAGTGACTTGTTAATCAACAATGTTCATATGCTTTTTTGTAACAGTTTTGGTTGTTTGTCCCCACCTTCCACAATGTGAGCAAATAGATCTAGGTCTCGACCCCAAATTCGAGTATGGATCCAAATTTGAAGAAAAAAATCGATAAGATGAGAGAGATGTCGGACCTAGGTTTCGATTTTCTATAGGATTCGACATTAGAAACTGGGAAAAAAATTGGAGAAAAGGATCAAATCGATCGAAAAGAGAAATTGAAGATTCGAAATATACTTATGCTCTAATAACATTTCGCAAGTTCGAGATAGAAGAAGGTAATATGGGAACTTTCTCTTGCTTATTGAAATCTCAAGAAACGGGCAAAAGTCTAAAGTACAAATAACTAAAAAGAAACGGACGTCATTAACACAACCGGAAAAATAACCGAGAAAATTCTGTTTGGAAAGCGAGAAAATGGAGGGGAAAGACTGTAAAGGAGTGAGCAATGTGATTGTGGCGCTTGTTTTTATTCTCCCTTTTCCTCTTTTCTCCGCACAACATCATGTTTAGGGGGGGGGGGACCCATTGGCATCTTGAAATTTTTGTAGGGATTTCTTTGAGGAAAACCCGCAAAGCACAAAATTTGCCGAGAAAAAAAGCGGATGAGAAATATAGCAAAGCTAATAACTGACAGAGCCAGTAAAGTTCAAGAGGAGACTTGACGATAGATAGCTTCTGAAAAGACGGAAAAAAAGGAACTAACCCATCCTGTGGTGGTATGAGTGTTAGGCGCTCAAGGTAACCGGTTCGACTCTAAAGGCGGGGAGGAGGTACGCAATTTAATTGCAGCATACAGACTGCCTCCGGCCCGTGAAAAATATAGCTCGGCCCGGTGAACTTTCAAGTTATCAAAAAAAAAAAAAAAAGAAAGGGAACTAGAGAATCTTCCGAGGAGGTCGGAGTTCCTTAGGGACAACGTCGAAATTCTTGGAGTCAATGTCAGACTGAAACATCGGTCTCTTACCCATTTTCCAGACGATCCCTTCCGCCAAGTGCTCTTTGTTCGGTGTCAGCATCACAAAGTTCGGATCGGCTCTTTGGTAACTGCATATCATTTTTAAAAGATATTATTATTCCGAGTAACAAATGAAATTAACAGATTCACAAAGCTATATATATATATACACACGAACCTTGCTTCCCGTAGATTCTCGACGCGGAGGCCGAAGCCATATGACGTTTCTCTGGTGGAATGATTCTTGGTAGCTGCAGTTAAATGAGTACCAAAAGACATATTCAAACCCTTTTGTTTGTGTTAGATTACGGTTACGTAAGAGCTCGTATCTGTCTTTGGTTATTTAGGCATTCTTCGTTATTTGGATTGTCGTTTTAACAGTCAGAAGTGCACAACGATAATGCAGAGCAAGAATCCTATACCCACATATTTAACTACACAAGTCCACAATGATAATGCATAGCCATAGTCCAGAGATCTTCTGTATAAATTTAAAGTTGAGTGTTGTTGTTTATGGAAAACTTATAGGGAAGAAGATTGAAGAGATGGTCACCTGAAACATTCAATGTAAAGGAAGGTTTCCACCATGACTTGAAGGCTAATGTTATTGTTGAGCTCATAGGTCCCATTTTCCCCTGCAAATAATTGAAAAAACAACCTATTGACACACATTCAGTTTATACAGCCTTTTAAGATTGCAACACAAATATATCTTTTTACCTTAAGCAAGAAGTTCTTATTAGCTTGCCAGGAAGCAGCTATTCGCATCGAGGAATCTGGAAAACGGTCTGACTTCTCGGCATCATCAAGCCTTCAACATGGATGAAAAATATAAATAAGGTCTCACTCATCCAAACAGCCCATGTACTTCTCCGTGTTTGCTAGCGCTCAGAGTTTTTCTCTTACCTTGTTTGTATCTCAAAACCCAAGTCGATGTAGTTAGTAATGCCAACTACTTCATTTTCTTCAAATGGGTTTTTCACCTGTTTCAATTTCATTTCACCATGTAACCAGTTCTAAATTAATACTTCACTATCCACCAAAAGGTATACAAACAGATAGATACGACCAATAATAATTTCAGCTTATATAGTATATGCAAAAGGAGCAAATCAAAGAATCATACCCGCCTCTGGACCACAACATGTTGGTAAAACGAAGCAACAAACTGCAGTCAAAAGTCAAATAATAATGTAAATTGGCAACGGATTACTAAAGTTTTGGTCAAATTCAAAATCGCTGTTAGACATGTTCCATGAGGAGCATCAGTTGCTTGAGCACAATATCTGCATAGATTTTACATCATGACACCATGTTTTATTGATAATGGATTTTGAAAGCACAACCTGAGAGCTTCTAGCAAGTTCAAGTCCAAAGTTGAAAGAAGGGCTCAAGGGGCTCCTTGACCCTACTCCATAGCCAACAGCACAACTCCAGTTCCTCAACTCTCTGTACTTTGAAATTGGAGTATCTTTGCTTTCATCTACACAAGCCAATGACAAGAGAATTTATGCCTACTTTCTTTCATCACATGCGATGCATAAACTCCAGTGGGAAATGCGTAGCTAGAAGGCACAGACAAAACAATGTATTAACTCACATAGTGGCTCATATTGCACGCCTACTGTGAGCCTTCCCATCTTGCTCACGATCCATGCAGTCTTTGGCAATTCATCCTTCACTGTGTTTTGGAATTAGTAGGTCAGCATCGTGAAAAGAACTTAGGAAAGGGTTTGCAGGGAAAAAAAGATTGTAATTCTATCAATCATGACTGATCTTGACCATTTTAAGCAAATGACAGATGAACTTGAGGTACCTACCAGAAGGAGAGACCGTAGCTCCAAGAGATAAATTCGCCGAACCATACCTCAGTCCCATAACCCCATATTCTTCAGATGATTGGCTACTACAACAATGTCAGACTTTCTTCCTAGTAAATTATTCTCAATAAGAAAGCATTAAACATAACCACAGTGGCATCTCCTCTGCCCCTAAACATAACTAACCTCTTTTTCAAAAGCAGAGGGAAGATTCCAAATGCTCCAATTCCATATTTAGGGTAGTAAGCGCAGGACCTCATTTGTAAAACCCTAAAAGATGACAAACAGGACAGTAATTTCGAAATGTTACCCTCGCGACTTAGATGAACTCCTGGAAACCCAAATGTAGCATGGAGCTTACGGGTTGGAGGTTGACACAGAGAGGTCTACGAATGTATGGGGATCATTGACATCACTGCACAGTTATGAAAAATACTTTAAGAGCTTTAATGATTCGTCCTTCGCTACTTGTTACACTCCAGAGTAAAGCTTTATTCTATATTTCATATGAAATACCTTTGCCAGCGGAAGAGTGCATCTCCCACAAGGTTTCCTGCTTTGTTATCTAGAGGACCTGAGACCTTTTACTATTTAAGGAAAATTTCAATTTGTTGCAGCTCGAAATTTCAACAAGACTATACTACTAGGACCAGCACGAATATAAAACTAAATGGATACAGATGCAACCAAATCCACATGAGGGTCATCAAGGGGCTTCAACAATAACTTTGTGGAAAAGTGACGTGCTTCTTCAAAGTAATCTTCAAATAGGCATTTCAAAGCAAGCTTCCCAAACAGCACATTGTAGGATGTTTCCAACATCCTGCATCACCTTAACATTGTCAAGAACACAAACAATTTCATAAAAGTATCAAATCGAACATCAAGATGCATACGGAAACACCTCAATGTCTGGTCAGAAAAGTTTACACTGAAACTATACAGATACAGATGCAAAACAGCATGCGTCTATGCTCCAACAATCTACATAGGTAGATGCATTCATGTGCTCAACAGTCAGCTAACACGCGCGATACGCAAACTGGTGTATATCTAGATATAGCTCGGCTTACACAACAATGCCGGTGAGCTAATGGTCAGAAATTTCAGAAACCGAAGAACTAACAACCGATTCAACAAATAGAGCCCAAAATTTCTCCAACCAGAATCTAGAATTCGATATAGCATACCAGAGCAACGAAAAGAGAAAACCGTATTAGACCAAATACTCCAAAATTTGTCGAAATCCACAATCCAAATTCCTACTGATTCAAAAACAGAAGAAAAACGACCACGAGAAAGGATTACGTTGGTAAAAACGATACCTATTGCGGGCGGACAGAGGAGGGAAATCGAAGAGAGGAGGTACAAGCACCACCGGCGGCGGCGGCTCCTTCGCCAAAAAGTTCCCCATTCCTAGTATCTGGAGATGAGAAACTGCGACTTCTCAGAGATAATTAGGGCTCCTCTTCTTCCTTCAACTTCGGAATATCAATACCTAGAGAGAGAGAGAGGGTGGGAGGGAGAGAAGAAGTAAAGCATTTTAGATGGCTCGCCAGCGTTTGTCTCGCTTCTTCCTCGTTTGAAAATTTCAAACTTTCAGAGGAAAAAAATTGTGAAATATATGTTGGAAAAAAAATAGAGCAAATGATACCCGCGAGGTGCCGTTGACGTGGCACTCTGGCCACGTTTGTGGGACTGACGTGGCATTTATTAACCATGTTACGAAAATTCTAAACGCTCCAAGGGACATCGAAATGAATTTTACTGCGTTAAAACTTAAAAGTATTTTATGATTTTATTGAATTAAAAATGTAGTTTATAGAAATAATATAGTTAGTAAATTTTAAACTGTAATTTATGGAATGCGAAAATTTAAATTCATAATCTTTATAAAAAAAATCATAAAATTAAATATTAAATGATGAAATCATTGGAATTCTAATAATTTAAGCCCAAAAAAAGTTCGGCCCATTACCGTTCATGTTCATTCAACCTCCTCTCTGATCTTATGTACCAAACTATAATTGTTCCTTTTTTTTAAATTTCAAAACACGAATATCAAATACGAAGAATGCAACACAAGACGATTGTATTTGAGGAGAGGTGCCACGTGGATCGCATCCGACGCTGCCAGCTACAATTGGTTTGTCTGGGCCTAAGCGATCCGTGACGAAGCCCAAAGCCCAAAATTTTCAGCCAGGCCATAATGTCGGGCCCGCCGTAGTCAAAAGCTGAGCCTTTATAGAAAGTTGCAATTAAATTTGTTATATTTTAATATCTACTTGTTTATAATATATTTAATATTAAAATCATTCAATAAGCAAAATATAGTTTTGGGAGATATAAGTTTATATATTTGAATAAGATTTTATCAAATTCATGTATATAATAATAATAATAATAATAATAATAATAATAATAATAATAATAATAAAAGAGCATCTCTCTAATGTAAAGGTTCCGTCAAAGTTAAACCTTTTTCTCTTTTTTTTTCCTAGAAGCAATAAATAAACTTCCTTTATTTTTACAAACACATGTTTTTTCTTGTTTCTATTACACACAAAAAAAAAAAGCAAAATGAAATCCATCAACTAGTTCACAAAGAGGTTTCCAAAGAGCAAGCCGAAACACAAGGCTTTCATTCAGGAAAGTGGTGAATTCGAAAATCGGCGAGAACAGACTGTTATTGGCTGCTTCGCCTATCTATTACGGCAAAAGTTTGACTGTCCTACGATGCCTTCATGTTTTTTTTTTTTTTTTTATACATTGGGAACCCCGACTGCTACCCTTCGGGCGCATTGACCGAGTAAATCCAAGCCCACACGCACGAGCCTAAAACACACGCGTGGAAGGTAAATCAGCCATAACTAGAGAGAGTTTGAGATAAAAAATGTCGAAGAAAAAAAAGAAATCCTCCCCATCGCGAGCGACGAAGGCACCCAGTGGGTCTTCGCCATCTTCGACTCCGGCGGGCCCCTTGTCGGCTCCGTCCTCACCTTCACCCATCGTCTCCTCCTTACCAGTTTCTCCTGCTCCTCCTCTTCTCCCTAATCCACCTCCACTTTCCCCAAAATCCCCTTTTCTGGCTCCACCCCTTTCTTCAATTTCAAACCCTATTTTACAAATTTCTGAAAATCTGGCGCAATTGGTAGAGGGTTCTTCCTCTCCAGCGTCGGCTACCCCTCTTCCCAAGTCTAATCTTCTTCTCCCTCAAGATTTTCCTCCTCTTACCACCTCTCGAGCCCCATCGAGCTCTCTTGCTCCTGTTCTCGACCGGACGCTCACCAAGGCTAATCCTCCTACTCCTTCGGCATGGGGAAAGTCGAATTTTCCATGGGCTCAGCAACTAAAACCATCTTCGAGGAACCTCTCACGCCTTACCACTCCCTCATACACTGAAGATGGCACCCCCAGAGTTAGAGTCCCTGGTGCAGTCCTCCTGGAGACATCTAAGGCTTGGTCAGGTAACCTTATTGGCCATTTCTACGGGCTTGCCCCTTCGGGCACACGGATCTTTCAAGCACTCAACCCCATATGGGGCAAGAAAGCCCAGATTCTTGTCAGAAGAGTCAGCGACACCACCTGTCTATTCCACGTGCCGGACTTAGCAACACGGGAATGGGTCCTGGAAGTCGGAATTTGGCACGCGGCGGATGTCATGTTCTCGCTCTCGGAATGGACTCCAACTTCGTCGCTCCGACAACCAGAAAATGCTCGAGACTCCTTCGTTCAAACCCCAAGAATTTGTGAGCCAACTCCGAACCCCTCACTGATTGGCATCTTACCACAAGTGAAGGGCAAGGAGAAACAGACCCGTAATGAGAAAGCATCATATGTGTTTGACTCCGAGGACGAGCTAGTACAGGAGGCTCAGCGTTTGTTGCGTTCAAGAGCGGCTGCCAACCCCAAGATCCTTCCTGATTTTTCTGTAGTCACGAAGGGTCGTAAGGTGAGGGGTCGTGCTAAGTAACTGGTGCTGTGTTGGAACTGCCCGCATTTTGTTTCCCTTTTTTTGTACAGCGAACAGTGATGATAAGAACCTTTTGTTGGAACGTACGTGGATTAAATGACTCAGCCAAGCAACGTAATGTCAAGCACTGGATCGACGAGCACAAGCCTATTATTGGAAGCCTGATTGAAACCCGGGTTCGCAGTGAACAAGAGGCAACCAACATTGTTCGACGCCTGCTCCCTGGCTGGTCTTTTCAGCATAACTACGGTTCAGTCGACCTCGGGCGTATTTGGATCATGTGGGTCCCCTCTATCTCGGTGATCATCTACTCTACATCAGCTCAGATTATATCTTGTGGTGACTTCATCCCGTGTTCGAGGACATACTTCACCGTCTCATTCATCTATGCCCGCAATACACCTGTTGAGAGGCGTTCCCTATGGGCTGAAATCTCCGCCCTTGCAACCAATGATCTGATCATGTCTAGGCCATGGTTGCTAGTCGGAGACTTCAACCAGATCCTACACCCACAGGAGCACGCCTCACCAAACATTCCTTTCACCCCAACCACGGGAATGTTTGACCTACAAGACTGTCTCTTCTCAGCGGGTCTCTTTGACCTCACGGCTAGAGGGCATTTCTTCACATGGACGAATAATAGTGTCGAAAGACCTATTACTCGCAAGTTGGACAGGGTTATTATGAACGAGAAATGGCTAATCTGTTTTCCCCAGTCCTATGCTCTCTTTGACTCGCCGCTACCCTCAGATCACACTCCATGCCTGGTGGATCTTCGACTTTCAGTACACCGAACGCGTCGCACAAGCTTCAAATTCCTCAAGCATCTCCTAAAGCATGAGGAATTTCACTCTCTGGTGGGCCATAGTTGGTCTAGGAATAACATCCGAAGCACTGCTATGTATCAGTTATCCCTCAAGTTGCGGTCCCTCAAACCAGTTTTACGGGACCTCAACAAGAGGGCGTTTAGCTCTATACAAGCCCGTGTCAAAGCTGCAACGGTAGCTCTCAAGGATGCACAATCTCGGTTACTTACTAACCCCACTATTGATGCAGCTCGACATGAGTCCAATCTTCGTGCTTCATGGTCGATTCTGTCAACTGCAGAGGAGACATTCCTAAGACAGAAATCAAGAATACGATGGCTCAAGGAGGGGGACCAGAATACAAAATTCTTCCACCGCGCGGTACTTTCTCGTCAATCAACTAACTCCATTCATTTCCTTGTAAACGATGCAGGGGAGAAGGTCTACCAAGTGGAGACCATGAAGCGAATGGTTGTGGACTATTATCAATCCATCCTCGGTACCACAGACCCGGATCTGTCCTGCTTTTCTATCTCCGAGCTATGTGAGTTGATCCCATTTCGGTGCCATGAAGATCTTTGGCCTTTCTTGTCAGCTATCCCCACTGCAGAAGAGATCACTGCGGAGGTATTTTCCATGCCGAGGGACAAAGCCCCTGGGCCGGATGGGTTTCCCGTGGAGTTCTTCACTGCCTGCTGGGATGTGGTAGGGTCGGATGTCATTGAGGCTGTTTCTGAATTCTTTACTTCCGGGAGACTATTGAAGCAATGGAATGCTACTACCATATCTCTTATACCCAAGGTCAAGAATGCAAGTCAGATGAAGGAGTTTCGACCAATATCTTGCTGCAACACAACCTACAAAATCATATCTCGGCTTCTCGCCAAGAAGCTCAAGACTCTGCTGCCCTCGGTGGTCCTTCCAAATCAAACAGCTTTTATACGAGGTCATTCTCTGATTGAAAATGTGTTGCTTGCAACAGAGTTACTAGCGGGTTTCAACTCCAGAGGAAGGTCACGGTTTGCTGCACTCAAGGTGGATTTATCGAAGGCATTTGATTCCGTTAGTTGGGAGTTAATTACTCGTATTCTGACTGCCATTGAGGTCCCAGCCATATTCCTAAATTGGATCACAGAGTGCGTGTCTACACCTTCATACTCTATTTCTCTTAACGGCGAATCAATTGGTTTCTTCCAAGGACGACGTGGTCTGAGGCAGGGGGATCCGATCTCCCCTTACTTGTTCGTGCTGGTCATGGATTCCCTTTCACGATTACTCAATCGGGAAGTTGCAAGAGGACATATCATTTTACCGCCGCAATGTAGGGTGCCTTTGGTCTCCCACCTCATATTTGCGGACGACATCTTGGTATTCTCTGACTGCTCTGACAGCTCTTTATCATCCGTCTTGCGAACCTTGGATGATTTTTACTGCACATCGGGCCTCAAGATTAACAAGACTAAATCATCTCTCTTCCTTGACGGGGATGACCATGAAGCGCATTCTGTTATTGCCGACAGATTAGGGGTCCCCACTGCCACCTTGCCGGTAAAATATTTAGGTCTGCCACTGTCATCATCTAGATTTTGAGATAGAGATTGTGCTGCACTTAGAGATTCAATAAGGAGGAGATTCAACTCTTGGATGTCGAAGCATTTATCCTTTGCTGGCCGACTACAATTAATCAAATCACTCATATATAGTACTGGGCGGCAGCATTCATAATCCTTTCCAGTTGTCTAAAAGAAATTGAACGGATGTGTTCAGCTTTTCTTTGGTCAGGAGCGCCGGACTCTGCGAGGG